GGTGGATGCACCGGGGTCCCGCTGCTGGCGGGGTGGACGTGGTCGCGAAGGTGGGGCCGTCAGGTTGTGAACACGACGTCTCTGAAGGACTGACACCAACGCCCATTCTCCTCCACTCCTTTGTCCCCTCAGCCCGTCGCTGCTCACCGCCATGGTCCCAGAGCGGGCCTCTGTTCCCAGAGGCGACGGGAGGCGGCAGAGCTGGGCGCCCAGGGACCTCCTTGTCCCCAGTGTCACTTGCTAGAGAAAATGCCTTCCTCGGGGTCATCGAATGCTTGAAAACAAACCCAGCGCGAGGGGCTGACGGGCTGCTCGGTCAGCCAAGCCTCAGAGGATTTGCAATTCATAGACTCACAGAACTGCTTGCGTTGGAAGGGACCTTCAAAAGCCACCTAGTGCAACCCCGTGCCGTGGGCAGGGGCATCTTAGAATCATTTAGGTTGGAAGAGACCTTTAAGATCAGGTTGCTCCAAGCCCCATCCAACCTGACCTTGAACACTTCCAATGATAGGACATCCACAATTTCTCTGGGCAACCTGTTCCAGGGTCTCACCACCTTCATCGTAAAAAGTTTCTTCCTTATGCGCAATCTAAACCTACCTTCTTTCAGTTTAAAACCATTGCCCCTTGTCCTGTCACTACAGGCCCCGGTAAAAAGTCTTTCTCCATCTTTCTTATAAGCCTCCTTTAGGTATTGAAAGGCTGCAGGAAGGTCTCCCTGGAGCCTTCTCTGCTCCATCTGAACAATCCCAGCTCCTTCAGCCTCTCTGCACAGCAGAGCGGCTCCAGCCCTCAGATCAATTTCATGGATGTAGGTTTTGATCCCTAGGAGGGTTTGGAAAAGTGCTTTTCCTTGAGAAAGGATTTGATAAACCTGCTTTCAGGGCACCCGAGTGAGTAGGGGCAGCAAGATTTTAAATATTACTCACAGTATATACAGAACAAGCACCTGGGCGGTCCCCCTGGCGCTGCAAGCGAGTGCACGGATCCCGGGAATTCAGAGCCAACTCATTCAACAATATTTCACAGAGAGGTTGAAGTTTTCTAGATAATTACACTTCCTAGAAGCTTTGTGAAAAGAAGCAGCGGAAGGAGGGAGTGACAGACAAATGGACACACCTTGTCTTGGCTGTACCTGGGGAAAGGCTGTAGCTCATGTTTCATTGTCCTTCGGAGACTGCAGGGGAGAGACCCAAAGTTTGGGAAAAGCTTCAGTCCTCTCTCTCCATAAGCTCCAAAGTCAAATCTGCAAGAAAACATACGAGGATTTGAACAAATTAAGTCTAACTATTTGGTCTCTTAATCTACAACTTGAAAAATAAAGTAATTTGTGTAGAGAGCAGAAAAAAAAGATGAATAAGGTACCTGACTACCCTGGTGTGTCTGGACTCAAGGAGCGGGATGTAAATATCTCGTCGGCTGGAATTTTATTGTATACTGGGGAATTCACCATGAATAACAAACTTTCAGAAATGTATCTTCGCTTACACCCAAGCTGTGAGTGGAAGTGCCATGTGTGCAAAATAAAGACATCACCCTGCTTTTTGGCTTCGACCAGCTGAGCGAAGGAGAGGTGCTGAGTGACATCGGCGGCTCCGTCACTGCCCCCGAGCGAGCTGGCCTCCGTGTCCCGCTCGCTCCGCAGAGCTGCTCTTGCGGATGAGAGTTGCTCCTCTTCCTGTGGGGTTTTGTAACTCAAGCAGGATGAACACAGCTCTGCTGTTACACAACGCTGGAGTGAGTGAGAAGACGTCTTTAAACGTTACGGTCTCGATCCCACGTACTAATATTGGTGACCAGATTTTAGGGCAGGTACGCTTGGTCCTGCGCGTTGGAAGCAAGTGTGGTAGAGCTGATGCATGCCCATCTAATTCGATGCCTAGCCTTGCTTCGTGCCACTAGAAACACAGAGATGCAGAGATCTGAAGGTGCACCCACAGTCAAATGAAGAGAGAAAAGAGAAATACATGGGACTACTTTAAAAATAAGGTCAGCCTGAGCCTTTTGGGTGTGCTTTCCCCCCTTTTTTTCCTGCATAATTAGAGGGAAAAAGGATGCTCTTTATTTCTATGTTTAAATATTTTGTCAGTTGTGGCAAATGCTATTCATTAAAAATGCAAACAAAAAAATCAAAACAAAACTGACCCACAGGTCTACACTATCACCAACATAATCTGCACCAGGTCTACCTGGAAACACACCAAAGTTGCTCACAGTGATATTTCTTCAGGTACAAAACAAAACCCAACGTCAGTGCGTTGGATTTCTTCCCACAGAAGATGACTCCATTAAACTTCTACTCATGACTATCCCCTCCTCCCCCCGTGTTTTGTTGCACAATCATGTCACCAAAGAGTTTCTACAACAGAAAATGAGAGAAAATCCATCTGTTTTTAGGGAGCACCTTAAAAAAACTGTAGAGAACTTGAGCCCTGCAGGCAGTTACAGTCTCAGTGAAGCAGTGTCCAGTACTGTCAATTCCCCAAATTAAAAAGCGGGGATGCCTCCACCTTCATCCTGCTTTCAGACCACACTCTGCCAATCTGTGCCTCTCGGAGCTCCCTCAAACCCTCCCTCATCCATTCCCTGGCAAGGTCTCACTCTTTGAGGCTGGAGGGTCCAGCCCTGCGTAGGGCTCACTTCAAAGGCACATTGGCTGCTCAGGGCTTGGCCAGATGGGTTTTGAAGACCTCCAAGGATGGAGATGCCACCACCGCTCCAGTCCATGTCCCAGGGCTGCACCACTCTCTACAGGGAAAGATTTTTTCCATGTATCTAATGGGAATTTCCCTTGTTGCAACAGGTGCCCGCTGCCTGTCGGTCTGTGCACCCTTGAGAAGCGCCCGGCTCCATCGCACTCCACGAGCGCTGGTCCATCTCCCTGCAGTTTCCCCTCTTGCTCTCTGCTCCTTCCCTACCTTCATTCAGAGTCTCCTCCCTGCCTTTGGGGTTCTCCCAGGTATTTGGGGGTCCGGGTTACCCCAGTGCGGCATAGAAGAGGAGGCAGCAGGCCTCCGGCTCATTACAGCTGGAGAGACGCCTTTGCTTCGTGCTAGGAAAAAAGTCAGGCGAGCCAGGCAGACTGTTCCCCATCGCTTCTCCATGGCAACAGGCCTCCAGACGCACGCACGTAGGCAAACGGGCCGAGGAGGCAGGGAGCACCGCGGTCCCTCCGCCCCAGCCCCAAACCTCTCTCCGCTGAGCTCACGTCTTCCTAGGGGAGCACACCCCAAAACAGCTTCCAAAATAATCATAGCTGGCCAGAGGAATGCTTCCCTCCTTCCACCGGTGAAGGTGCAATATCCTGAAGCCCAAGCCAGGCCAAACTCATCCTGGCCAGCGATGATTTTTGTCCCTATAAATGTGTCACACTCTAAAAATCTGGTACCTCAGCATCCTGTCAAACCAAACAGCACCTCTCTGCCTCACGGGAAACCCAGAGCCTTAGACCTGGTTAGGTCTAGGTCTTAGATCAGGCTGAGATGAGATAGCCTGATGATTCTCAGACTTTAGGGATACAGTCTTTTTTATGTTTAGAAAAGCCATCTTTGTCTAAACAAGCAAAAGAATGTGTATCCTGACAATTTAAGTGCAAAAAGAGAAATAAGACAAACCAAAACCAGTCACAGGAACAACCTGCAAAAGGCAAAGCCAAATAATAATAAATACTTCTTTAAGCACATCGAGCTCAGGAAGCTTGTTGGAGTCTGGAGAGTCAGAAGTTGGCCACAGTGCAAGAGGAGCATTCGTAGGAGATAAGGTCAGAACAGAAAAACAATGAATATTTTGCATCTGTAGTCAGTGAGGAAAAGCTCAGAGAAGTTTCTGTGCCAAAAGTCATCTTCATATGGATGTGGCGTTGGATTGGGCTCATATTCAAGTGTCAGCAGAAGAAGTTGAGGAATAAATAGCCAAACCAAAGAGTGCAAATTCACCAGACTGAGATGGGTCACCTAAGTGCTCAGGAACTCAGAGATGAAACAGTTTAATTACTTAATTGTAGCATGTAATCGCCGTGTGTAACGTAGCCTCGGTGTCTGAGAGCTTCAAGGTGACAAATAGGAAGGGTTTGGGGTTATTACAGACCATGAAGTCCTGGGCAAACTGATAGAAATGGTAATAAAGAATACAATTAGTGCATAGTTGGATACATCTGAAATACTGGGAATTAAAAAAAAAAAAAGGTGGTTTTCCTTGAATAAAGGAATGCCTCATAAATCTATTACAGTTCTTTAAAGTCGATATCCTGTGGTATAGTCTGCCTGGATTCCCAAAAGGCCTGTCGCAGGAGTTTCTGACAGAAACGCAGCTACCATGGGATTAACAGAAAAGGCTTGAAATAGATAAATACCTGGTTAAAGGATTCTCAGAGATTAGCGATCAATAGTCAGGCTCCTGAACGGAGGGAGGACTTGAACGGAGCCCCACAGGGACCTGTGTTGGGGGTGCTCACTTCAGCATACTCAGAAATAATGAAAAGGAATTGAAAAAAGGGGTAACAAAGCTTGCTGAGGATGCTAAGCTATTCAGGGTCATAAATACATGAGAGACTGTCAAGAATTATACAAGGACTTCATGATAGTGAATAACTAGGTAATAAAATGGCTCAGGACATCCAGAGCAGATAACTACAAAGACAGGAATACAGGAGAGAAACAGTCCCAACTTCAGCGGCGCGGTACTGGGCTCTGCACTTATCCTTACCCTCAGAAATGGCCTCTTTTTCTCCCAGGTTCATCTGAATATCGTCCCCACCCAAGCTGCATTTCTGCCTCACACACGGGCCGCTGGCTTTGGAGGGAGTACGAACCCAGGAGGTGAAGGGAAGGGACTCAGCAGCATGGTAAGCATAAAACCAGGACAAAGCATGATCTTTAACTGGCCATGGGAGATGACTGTAGTTTCTTTGATCCAAATTGAGCCCAGGATTGTTTGTGGTCCCCACAGATAACACAGTTATTTAGTGACTGGGAAGGGCAGAATAACAGGGTTAGCAGTGTCGAGGGAGGTACAGGACCCCCCTCCCCAGGGTCATTTCCCAGGGCTGTACCGTACCGCAGCGCGAGCCGAGGTGCGGGTGCCTCCCAGGCACACGATGTGCTGAGAACACAGAACTGGTACGGAGAGGACTGGCTCAGGCGGGGATGTTTTCA